CAACCACACTGAGGATTTCGGAGGTCAAGGCACCATTGATTGAAAACCTCCAGTCGTCGAATGTCCTCAGCGACCAGGTTTCGTAGCCGTATAATAGGACTGGTCGAACTGCAGTGTCTTGTAACCTTTCTTGGGGAACGGAAACAAAACCGAGGTGTTCCAATCAGTTAGACATGTTTCGGTCTCCCAAATAGAGTGAAAGAAAAAAATGAAGTGGCTTGACGACCACCGGAAGGTATTTCTTATATATTTCTGCCGGGATTCCGTCTTCACCAGGGACCTTGCCAGACTTCAAGCGACCGATCACTGCGGCTATTTCCTCCGCCGTTGGAGGATCACAGTTGACCTCTTATGGGGACGCCAAATCGGGATGAATATCTGCCGGATTGCCCAGCGGACGACAGTTGACTAAAAAGTTCTACCCATTTGGTCATTCTACCGTCGATATCGGAGATCCCTCCCTCGGTGGAGTCGCGTAGAACCGGTTGTGTCGATCGCCTTCTATCGGACTCGAAAGAGGTCGCCGAAGTGGCATGCTCTAGCAGCGGTTTCCATCTTGATGGCTATTTCGCTCCAGTAATTGCGCTCATCTGTTACTGAGGATCGGGTTGTTTTGCGTCTGAGTCGCTGGTAATCGTGGTGGCCAACTAGACGGGTGTCCCTGGCCAGGGTTGAGAGACGGATGGTTTCTTCTGATATCCAATCTTTGTAGCAGCGTTTCGTGGTACCAAGTTTATTTAGTGCAGCTTTAATCCTGGACCACTGCACATCAGTGGAGTCTTCTACGTTGACGGGTGGGACAGGCTCATTTGCCAGTCTGGTTTCAATTTCATCCATAAGGGTTTTCGACTTCTCGCTACACTCTAATGGGCCCTCGTTGAGGCGATTTGGAGGGGTTGTCTTAAAAAGAGTAGTCAGCGGGAGGCGAAATTTCTCACGAAGGAGCATGTGATCAGAGCCACCACTGTTACCAGCTTCGGCACCGCGATATGATTTACAATCTACTGATGAGATCTAGCGCGACCGTATCAATATACAGTCGATCTGGTGGGCTGTTATGTCTTAAGAAGATGCCTCCTGGGGTCCTGGAAAAATTAATTAACCTGTCACCGTTTTCGCAGCGATGGCTTAGTCCAAATTTCTTAATTGTGTTTTGTTGAAGGTCCTTGCCCACCTGTTCGATCATTCCAGTCTCCCGCCACGATAAGTACATCTCTCTTGGGTACGTAATTTACTACCTCCTGAAGACTCCCGTAAAACTCGTCCTTCACAACGCTGTCGGATGGTAAAGTGGGGCGTAGATTGTTACCACGGTACGGTTGGTAGGATAACCTTTGGAACTCGTTACAGCGATTCTTGACGATATCGGTTCCCAAGAGATCAGGACAGCGTTGATGCGATGGTTCAGCGCTAACGCCACTCCGTTGACCTGAAATATCTGGGCCACTATGGTAAAAACAGTGGTGGCTATCAGAATCAGGAACATTGATGCTACGGGAGCCGGAACCGGCTAATCGTACTTCGGATAAACATGCAACATCTACGCGGTAGTCGTGTAACGTGCGCATAGTCATGTCTAAGAAGGTTCTCACGTTCCAACATCCCAGGTAGAGATGCTTTCTAAGTTGAAGAGGTTGAGGAGGTCCAGTTCGCATTCTTGACACCCCGACCACTGGAGGAGCGTGGGGGCGCGTTGCTTACCGAGGACGCCGTATCATGGATAACGAAACTTGTAGGAGACGTGATTGTGAAGTTACTTACCAGCAACGTGCTACTCCAGTCTATCGAGTAAACTTACCCAAATAAACCACATTGGAGCGGGCTATCTTGGTCATAGTTCAGTAAAAGAATATTGGACCACCTTCACTGAGTCTGATCACGCACTCGTTTTGATGCGCTTCGCCCTCCGACTCACCGGTTACCGTCAAAAGCTGTAAACTCCGTTAACCCATCATCGCTTATCTGGTCCGGCTGCTCGTGCTGGTTAAGAGCTAAAGTATGAGCAAGGAGCTATGCAACGTGGTGTAATAGATGAACAATGGGATCAGGTTGGATATGCCATGTATTCAACAGCGAACGTCGCTTTTGAATATGAGCCTGAAGTCAGGAATCAGTAGTGGTGAGGGAGAGAAAGCGAAATATCCTGGCCGGCTGGTATCGAAAGGAGAAGATAGCACCTTCGGTATCAAAACACTGAAAGCCTCGAGAAAGACCGTAGAATCTGGTGGGCCAAATGGTTAATTAAATGTAAGAAGCCGTCGCCTCGTGTTGTAGGCAACGTCTGTCTCAGTTGATCCGCAACATCGGAGGCCGGCGAATGTCGGTAAGCGAGCTAATTAGCACTAAAAAATAATAATGCCATTCACGGTAACGAACAGTAACTTCAAAAAAAATCCAACTGGGTTGGTACCAACTAGGTTATTCCGGTGGTCGCAGGTGAAGCATCGTGAGAGGTTTTATGAGAATCCATTCTCTTATTCGTGATGCGAAGGCTGGTGTGGTAGGACAGCTTTGCTGACCGTTCACCTGTATCAATCCGTGATCTTTGACCCCCGCGGTACCTAACTCGCTCGTTCAGGGTGCCGAATACATCAGATCACCTAATGAAATCTTTGCGATCAAGATATCCTCAAACCTGCTCGTAACGTTTTTCTCGGCATAATTTCAGTCGAGGTTTTTCTATCTCAAATTAGCCAGTTCCGTCTCGCTCTCCTGCCCGGTTACCTCTAAATGTTGGTTTCTCGTCCCGATTTTGGTAATGAAAACCTCAACTCCTTTCGTTAGCCAAGGAACGTTTCTAAAACACTGAACGGTTTCGCAAATGCACTTCTATCTTTTACATCTAATCTGACAGTGTTAACCTGAGGAAATTTCTGTTCTACTAATTTTTTTGCATTTCATTTCATTGGCCTTTTGCCAATCGCTGTTTTTCTCCCATATTCGGTTTGGTTATGAAAGATTTTTTCTAAGCCACATCTTGATTAAAGTAGGGTTTCTTCATTATCTAGTGTCTAATGTGTGACGAAATCGACTTCCACTGTAATCCTCAGGTGTCGCTATTCGGTCGTCCATGGACAATGGGACAACGGTTCAGTATTGCGGACTGATTCAACAGTTGACGTCCAAAGCTCGATCCGCTGTCCGTGATCTCGACCCTTCCAATGATTTAACTTTCCTTCGGATTCGCAGCAAGAAAAATGAGATTATGGTCGCTCCAGGTTGGTTCGTGGCTCATGATTCTCTTATTGCAACCGGGCTACCATGTTTCTCATACACTTTGTTGCAATATATCATAGACAGAATAAGTCCCATATTCCTGTAGCTGCGGAACTCGTCAATCCCAGCTCTGAGTCATGCACACCATAAGGCCATTGTGCAAGACGCTGTCGAACCCGGTGACAGCAAAGCTACCTTCCGAAACATGGTACGTAGCAGAAGTAGATTGTGAAGAACACGTGGGTGTACCCTGTTACTGTGTATCAGTATTGTAATCAGCTGAAGTTTAAGCTTTTGCAAACGTTGACATCGCATTTCTGTGCGCTGTTTATGGTTCCTGTCTTTTGTAGACCTATCTATTTAGTCAACAGGATAGTGAGTTAATGTTACCAAGACCGAGTTTGAAATAAAAGCCTTTTTATGTTCCTGATGTTTTCGTTTCAACAGATTGGCAAACATCCGGCGTATATTTCTTTTACTTTTACAGTACAATTAGTTCTCTCGTGTATCATAATTTTTGGTTTGTCTATTATGTTCTCTTTCCCTAATTCAAATCTCATTGCGACCGGTGTATGATGTTCCAGAAATAGCTTTTTTCAATCGTATAAAGTTATCGCGGAAGAATTATTTCACCTAAGAAGTAAACTTACGATCGTTTAGAGAACAAATGACCTTTCATCGGTCATGGTGATTAAATTTCTGCTTCAGTTTTTACAACTATTGAACATACCTTTGATGCGCCGGTTTAGGTTGCTGTCTCACGTCTGTCCATTTGGATAAAAGAGCAGAATAAAGATTGGAATGTTAAGAGCAAATTCAAGAGAAAGATAGAAAATTCATTTGGACCAAGTTTGCAAGAATGGTAAGTAAATGCACGAGCGCCTCTGTTTGCGTCGCTCAGTCAGATCAATCAGTGTCTCTAACAGCCAGTTTCAGTTTGTACAACCATTAATCATGCGCCGGTTTTGGTTGCTGTCTTTTGGCCGCCCATTTGGATGAAGCAGTACGAGAAACAGGAAAGTTGAAAGCAGAGTCGAAGAGAAAATTGGAGAATTTCTGTGGACTGAGGTTGCAATTAAATTGAAATACGCGAACGCCATTGTTTACGACAGCCATATCACTCCATGCCTCTAACCACCGGTTA